CTACAAACATGCCCATTAGACAGCGTGAAGGTCCTTTCAATATTACAGTCATGAGCCACGGAAATGTTTGTGAAGTTAAAGTCTACATTCTAGGTTCTAATTCCAACTTGAGTGTCCTATAAGTGTGCTATGAAACAAATCACAGTACAATTGACAATAACAATGTGATCAGTCCGGAATGAGCCACGATGCAATTTAAGCAATGGCAACAGGAAGCTTTTGGCAAACAGATCCAAACAAACTTTCAGAATTTTGAACTTCCAACAGTGGGATATTAAATAGGGAATCCTTGACAGAACACCTTGAGCAAACTATTTAATGTACTGTCTGTAATTATACTCAAAAGTATTATTCTAAATAGTATTCTTTATTAGCAAAATAGACTGATTTTAAAACTTTCTTTCCCATTTGAATGTATCCCATCAACAGTACATATTCTAAATAAATATCTTTTTCATAATTATTTATGTGTGTATTGTAGCCTAATGTACCTGTTCGGACAGAAATAAGTGAGGAATCGGATGATTACATGAGCCAGAAACTGGGACTTTGTAGGCCAGTTGAGAGTAAATTTAACTACTCACCTTGCCCGCAAAGACCCAACCTCTAACACATTGTCTTTAACCCCAAATATACACAGTTTATTATTATACATTCATTATTGATTTTATATATATATATTTATATATATATATATATATATATATATATATATATATATATATATATATATATATTTCATGATTAATAGCCTTAAAAATACACTATTTCACAAAATTCTAATTTAATGTGGTTAACCTAGCCTGTTTCATCCATACACTGGTATAATTCATATTGACATAAACCAAAACATATCACAAAATCTTTACATTTCATCAGGGATGAAGCAGCACATATTGATGTAGGCTATTTTCTTATCAACAATTAACTAACGTTACAGGAGATTAATTTACCTCGACTGGACTTCCACTGTTTGAGCGTTGTATCAACCCAGCCTGTTTTTGACTTATGTCCACGGTCATAATCGCACGTATTGATTGACACTCAAACAGTTGTAAAAAAGTTTGTCGTTCGTACGGTCCAGTTCTGGTTCTGATTGCTGCCAAAGAAATGGAATAAAGATGCATTCTTCACTAAAGCCAGCATATAAGTTTCTTCTGAGAAGATATACGTGTTTTTTTTCTGTTGGATGAGCCAAACTGGTATGAATATCCTTGTTCGTTCCCTCCTCGGTAGCGTAGTCATGACTGTCACCGCCGCCTTCTTAAAGGGTTTACCTGTATTCTGCAGAGCCGCGTGCCATGTGCGACAGACAGCAGCGAGCGGAGATCTCGTGCCGTTCGCAGGCCCTCCCCAAAATGCAATTCTAGGTAGTACATGCATTTATGAACAGCCTATGTCACACTCACCTATTGTTGGTAATCTTGGATATGTCTTAAATGCGAAATGTGTGCGTTGGTGTCGGGAGGCATCCTATTCATTTATTTAAAATGGCAAACATATGCAATGAGTCCCACAGAGAAACAGCAGTTATGTTGTTTGAGTCGAACCTTTACAGTTTTATAATTTTGAGCTGTATAATATTCACTATATTAGCTGCGTACAGTGCGTAGCCTACTATGGTCGTTGTAAAGGTCTGTTTTGATTTGGAGCACTATAGCGTCATCTTGTGGAAACATGCATAACACTACATAGCCGACCGATCGGCTATATCAGACACCGATTTACATTCTTACATTGTTGCATTCTTCTGTTAAACTTTCCCAATGAACGATTTGGCTCTCTGCAACACAATAATAAAATCACACAATCATGAATATTTTTCTTCAAAGAACATTCCTTGCATTAGAATCAATATTTTGTTTATTATAAATGTTTGTACTTTTAAATTGAGGAGTTTTTGCACATTATTCATTGTGTTCAGTTCAGTCCAACGTTTCTAAATTACACAGAGAGCGTCTGTAGACTGTTCAGGTCATCATAAACTTCACCTGCATTTGGCTCTATTCGTGTTAGTCTGGATGCCAACAAGCTTTCTATTTTCTCCTGCTGAAATGAAACCTTCTCAGGTGTAATAATCTTAAAGGAAAATAAGACTATTTGTCTGTGGTTTCGTCACACCGCCTTTACGCAAAAGCAAGTTAGTTCCATTGATCGAGGCACGGACGGGGTTCGAACCCGCGATCTTCGGTTTACGAGACCGACGCCTTACCACTTGGCCACCGCGCCTATTGGCCGCCAAGATGCAAATAACTTGATTTGGTCTAGGTTCGACCGAATGAAGACTACGAATAAACACTTGTTCTTTCTTATTTTTTTCGTGAATTCTTTCTCCCATGTGAGTTCACGACTCTTCTTTGTAAATATTATAGAAGCGATCTAACGAACGACCCAGGTTATTTTATTCCCTCTGCTGACACATCCGGTAGACATTAGATTATTAGAGGTTTCCCGGATGTGAATCAATTCAAACCAAGAACAAATGTATCGACCTCATCACACAATAAATGTTAGCACGTGTTATTGGTCATTTAATTTTAAATAGGGATGCAGCAAGCAAGAATATTTCCCTGGTATATTAATGATTTTTGTATCTTGACATAATTTAGTTGATCGGGTCAACACAAATACACAATACGGGCTGAAACATCATTTTATTTGTTCCTTTTCATCAGATGGAACTTTAGCGTGCTTAACCTATATCAACTTAGGAGGTTAAAGTATTATGTTTTTTTATTTATTAATTCTCCATTTATTTCCAACATTTGGAACATGTATAACTATAATTTAAGTATAAAATCTTGAAAATGTGCATTTCACTACTCATGTAGTGGATAATTGCAGAAAAATATGTATGTTTTTTATTGAACTTTGATGGAGCAACAGATTTTGTGTGAAAATAAATTATAAAAGTATTTGTTTAAAAATCTTATAAATGAGGAGGCAAGTGGGCCTGTTACCCCACACACGGGGTAAAACCAGCATGGGGCAAAAGGCACAAAGTATTTTATATTTATATGTATTTTTCTAATAATGTCTAAGTTGATACTTGTTCTAAACAATCCCTTTAGCAAAATGTGCACTATTTTCTGTTTATTTTTATCATTTTTGTTCAGTAAATATATTGTCATAAAAATAAAGATTCTGAAGGCATTGAATAAGATCTCATAATTGAATATAGCTTATAGTAACTATGATATATTTTATTATATGATATGATTAATATTTTAAATATGATGGTTTAATTATAAATATGGTGATTATAAGGTGGACGCCCAACTTAATATATGATATTACCATCTGAATCTAATGTCATGTCAACAAATGGAAAAGTCAGCCAGATATTTATTATCATGTTAATTATTGTACCTTTAGGCTTTTACCCCAAATACCACCCTTTTACATATTCTTGTTGTTGAAAAACTGTTGCTTGAATTATATTCAATAATTTTAGCGATTCTCATTTGCTACTTAAATCTACAACGTTTAAAAAAACAAAACATTAAATATTAGATCAAATTAGCACAGAATCAACTTTGCGCTGCTGTGTTCATCGGAGTGGTCTAAGACCCTAGGACTTATGTCGCACTTGAACCACGAATACACAAAGAACTGACTGGATTTGAGGAGTTTTGTGGTTGAAATTTAAAAAAGTAACAAATCCTATTTTCCCCTCCGAATAAATAGAATGTGAGCACAGAAAAACCTAAAAATGCTCAAAATTCAAACTAAAAATGCTAAAACTTTACCAAAAACCCAGCGGAACAGCTCATTTGCTCCATGTAGAGCTGTAAGGCCATCTGGAGGCAAGAGTCATGAAAAATCATGTTATATGTCTTTTTTTTTCACAAGAGGTCAGCAAAGACACACAATGAAAGATATTTTGAGCTGAATTAAAAGGGTTATGCATGAAATTGAGTTGTTTTGAATTTAAGTTGAAAGAATGTGAAGTATGTGCTTAAATTATTATTTATTCATTATTTATTAATAAAATCTAGTAATTTAAAGGTAAATAAAATAAAAAGAAAATCTCCCCAAAAATTGCATAAAAAGAGAAAAATATTATCAAAATGAAATGAAAGTAAGAAAAAAAAGTAAGTATTATTTTAGGGCTTCGGGTCAATTTGATCCGCAAGGGAAGGATTTTTTTTTTTTTTTTACAAAGTGCGAGGGAAGGATTGCTGAGCTGAATTTTTGTACCATCTATTCTAGTCGTTTAGAGTAAAATAAAATCAAAGGCGCCTTTTACCCTGGTGTGCCTTTAGCCCCATTGTTTTAATCAATATATAAAATCTATTGTTGTAGCTTGGGTCCCTAAAAAAGTTGGTATTTTCTTGGCTTTCATAACAGTGTTGTTACTACCATATCAAGTGATGAGAGTCTCTAGTGAAATAACCATACACAAACTTTTCATGGGGAATAAAATAAAATGGTGAATGCCATTATATGATGTAAAATATGTTAAAAGAAAAGAAAAGAAAAAAGATTTATATTTTTCACAGGCTAGCTGCTCATTATTGCTTATTATTTGTGTTTATGGACATTTGATCACATCTCAAAAGTAGATATGTACACACAACTGATTAAAAGTTTGATCAGATGTTTTTTTTAAAAGTCATGAACTGGAGAAGTCATGAACTTTCATTAAGCAATGAGTAGCCTAGTAATTGTTCCACTTATAACGAGAGGCCCTAAACAGAAAAACAAAAACAAAGAACTGTTCTGTTAGTTTAAATTGAAATAGTGACTATCAAACAACACAAACAAAATGTCTTTAAACATTTTCAAAAACAACTTAAATAATACGTCAACAGATTAATATGTATTAGCCTACAACTAGGGGCCAGAATTTACACCCTGAACTTTTTTCTCGCGACAATATCTACTCTGAAAAACGAATTTCCCGCGAAAATATAATAAGCGAAACTGAAGGCAGCGCGAGCGCACAGCACAGCACACTCTCTACCAAACTTGACTGCAATAATGTCCAAACTCGAGGTTTTATCAGCTGAGTGGAATACATTCAAGAAAGAGGGCGGGTAATATTCACGGCACTTTCGACTTCAGGCTGTTTCCCATAGGGCACAAAGCTTCTGGACTTGTATATTCCTAGTAACAAGTAAACAGCGGCGATATTCTCCTCGCAACACAATACTGGACAGCTAATCTTTAAGCTCACTTTCTGCTGCGGCTGGTTTCTGTGTTGTAGTCCGCGTTCACTATCCCGTGGAATCCAAATTAGGATCCGATAAGAGTTAGCGAAGCGCTCATTTTTTTCACGCTTAAGAGTCGTCGTTGTTGCGATGTTTTTCTACGTGTACATTTGTGTTGTCGCGAATTCCATCCGGTCTGTAAAACAAACTGATCTGCCGGCTCGTTGATGTTAACTGTTACTTTGTTGAGGGGGCGAACCGGTCTCGGCTGCTCTCCCTTTGTTTGGGCTCAGGACTCGGCTGAATCCACTGGGCTTCCGTTTCAAACATCTCATTCGACCGCGAACACAATTCTAGGATGGCTCCACAAAAGCACGGCTCTGGTGGAAATGGTTTTTATTCTAACAGCACGAGTAAAGCTGCAAATGGAGGAGCGCACGTATCGTCCGGAGTTGTGATGCCTTCAGTGAAGCGACCCAAGATGGAGCAGATCCAAGCCGACCAAGAACTCTTCCTGCAGGCGTTCGAGAGTAAGTTGCTCCGGTTTGCTCGTAAATCGAACTTTTTTTTCACCCAATTCGCTTTGTAAACACAATAAACTGCTGTTTTTCTTGCACACTTAACATTATCCAATTGTTGTGTCACACACTCCTAGCTTGAGGGCTAAACAACAATACTAACCAATACTAGTGTGTCCAGTAGTTCGTGAAATTTCTTAAATATGAATTTTAATGTGGGTTATCTGCTTAAGTCATGTTTTTTTTGTCACAATAGAGTAATTTTAAACACATAATAGTTGTCTAGGCCACATCCTATATGAAAATTAGACACGTGCATCAAGAAATGACACGTGCTTTATGGTGATTTTATGTGTTTTATTATTTGAATATGGCATTGGGGACTTAGACTTATGGTCATAGAAGAGCAAGGGAAATAAGCGATCACAAACAACATAAAACCCTTGAAAACCAGAAGTTTCTCTACACGAGCTAAGACAAGTCTTGCCAAACTGCCATCTTGATTAATGTATAAGACTGTCATTGTGAAATAATGGGGTTAATTTTTTCATAGATGCTGGCTCGACATGCTTAGTATGATTTAAAAATAGCAGCTTATTCATTTACATGGCATCTAATTTTGCAACATCAATGTACGTTATTCTCTGCATTTCTGTTCACAGAACCAACTCAAATATATAGATTTCTTCGCACAAGGAATCTCATAGCAGTAAGTAGAGCATAATAATGAAGAAATAACATGCTGTTCTCCTTTGGATGTAAACTTTTGTGTAAACTTGGGAGAACTGTACATGGCTGCCATAACAATAGCTTAACTGGTTGGATCTTTAATTTTTCCTTTTCCATCAGCCAATCTTCCTGCACAGATCTCTTACATATATGGCCCACAGAAACTCGAGAACAAATTCAAAAAGGTAAAATGATTGCTGTATATTAAACAAACTTCATGCAAGTTAATCTCTTTGTTTGTCAAAAAGCCACACCTTCCATTTCCTTCTGTAGGCCTCACAGTGAGACAATTTGTTGACAGATACACTGCAACTGAGTGATCTTCTTTAGTTGTAGTTGGATAAGTTGAATGAGTGCTTTGCATCTCAACAGATAAAATAACAATGTTTGATGGCGTCCATTGTTTCAGAAAGTGCTTTAGAGTGAACGATCTGCTAGAGAAGTCAAAAGTGGACCAGGAATCTCACAAGTAAGATGTCCTTTTATTCCAGATTTCTGTGGCTCGTTTTCTGAACTTGACTGAATGGGTCAAATGCATGCAGAGGTTTTAACTCCAGTCTTTTGTCTTGTAGTATGGCTTCAAACCTGCAGCTCACTTTCACTGGATTCTTCCATAAAACTGGTAAGCCAACATTAAGTTTCAAATTTTTTTTGTATGCTCTTACCAGCGTGTACAAATAATATCCACTGATCATTTGGTAATTTTGATTTCTTCAATGTATCAGAGAAGCCATTGCAGAACTCAGAGAATGACGAAAACTCAGTGTCTGTAGAAGTGCTACTCGTCAAGGTCTGCCACAAGAAGAGAAAGGTAAAACTTTGCCTCATAGAAAAGTACAAAATAACTTGCATTGACCTTGCACACCAACAAAAATAAGCTTCCTCAATGAAAAAAAAACATGTCCTTGTCTTGATACTGTATGTGCACATGACTGTTGTACTAAAGGTTAATTTTTAATCTGTTTTTATCTTTGCCATTTGCACATAATTAAAGACCAAATGAAATGACTTGACAAGCACAGTTTTGTGTCCTTTGTTGAGAGCATTTGATTACACAAAAATCAGCATAGTGCAACTTGTCATCAAGATTTTTGGTCCCAGAAGGTGTGGTCACATTGTCCATCATTCAGCACATTTTTTGTGGGAGAAATTCAGTCAATTTAATAGAAATTTCAAGTGAGGGGTAAAGATTTCCCCTATACGCAGATTTCCAGTGGATCTGCCATGCTGACCAACAGAAAGCTGCTTGGTTCAAAAGTGAGCTGTGCTTTATACATTTCTACACTATTGACAATAGTAGGGCTGTCCCCTAATAGTCGACTAAACGTTATGCTCATTCACACTATAAAATCACAGGATTTTAAGTCTGATTTTCAAATCGAGCTGTGATTGGGGGCAAATCAGCGGGTGATTAGCCCTCGGCAATATTTATGTGTGAACTACTCAACGGCTCGCCGTCGCCAGACAAATACCTAGCATTATAAATATCTGGAGCTGTCGGCCGACTCGACATCCTGTGGTGCCAAGTGTCTCGACGAGCTACAGCCAATCAGAGGGCAAGGCATTGGGTTGAGGTCACCGAAAGAATAACGGCAGCAGAAACAGGCAACTACTTTTTCATTATTAAACAAGTTTTACTCGCCTCCAACTCTCTCTGCAGCACAGACAATCCCTGCTGCCCACTTGTGCTGATCCATTCTTTCACCCATATCCTTTTCTTTTTTGCTTTTTCGGGGGTTTTCAGAAAAGATAATCGCGCTAACAGCTTGCAGCGCTAATTTCTTTCCGACGTCCATGTTCAAATAACCAATTCCTGTTTCGCGCATTGTTTCGCGTCATTTCCCGTTCCACTTCTTGTGTGTGTTTTCGTGACAAAACGTGTTTTGGGGACCAGATAGAGTCGTTGGCTGACAGAGTTGTTGTCAGCTTGTGTAGTGTGGGACCCCCTGTTGCGGATCATTTACGTAGTGTGGTCACCACAACAACTTCAAGACACTAGATTACAGACAGCAAGTCGTGTAATCTGAACAGCACAGCGATCTGCTGACGTTTAAAGTTGTGTAATCTGATCTAGGCATTAGTCGACAAACTAGTAATAGTCGAACTACATTTTAATCAGTCGGTTAGTTGGAGAAAAAAAAAAACTACACAGGATTTGGCGAAATCAGTCAATGACGGATCGCCAACTCGGCTGGTCCATGTGGTGATAAGTTGAGCAAAAAATCCAAAGTGTTGGGAACATTTCAAAAGGGTGAAGAATGACCACAAAAGTGTGACGTGCAACCTCAAACATGACTTTTCATTTAAAACTTGTAAGTAGTAGCCTAACTGCTTGCTCCATTGTTAACCTGTTTGTGGGAATTGTAGAAGCTAAAGTTCCACATTTACTGCTTGACATGTTTAACTTAACTTCCATGTCCACGTCTTTGGAGTGCTTCTTCTCAAAGGCCAGCTTCATTGTGAGCAAGACACGGAGCACTCTTGTCCCTAACAAAGTAGACAAACTTGTATTTGTTTCTCGGAGGAAAGAAAATAGTGACTGAGTTGGGTATAGCCTAATTGTCCATATTGTTGTAGTTTTTTAGTTTGTTGCTTTATATTTAATTTATTTGTTTTTATGTAGGCTAATGTATATTTATTATTTTGTTAGTTTTCATTCAATGTTCAGGCTATTTGTCCGTTGGACTGATTGTTTGCACTAATATATAAGTGTTTCAGTTTGCTGTATGTTTATTTTATTAATTTGTTTATTTAATTAATATTTATGTCCTAAATTTCACCAATATTTTCGTTAAATTTCAGGGGGTTCTTTGTTTTAAGATAAGGCTGTTATTTATATTATAGGTTTATTTTGTTTGCATTCTGATCTCATAAAAGATTATGCAACATTTGCCTTTGTCGCTGCAGCAAGCTTTATGCGCGTGCTTGAGAGCTTAATTTATATTTTAAATGCTCGTTATTATGGTTTAGTATTTCTCCCCCGACTAATTGAGTAATGGCTTAAATGAACGACTAACAGTTGACTAGGAAAATCTTAAAGGCCGTGTTGCAGGGTTAATTTTTCAACGAGTTTGTGCAATTTGCTTGTTGGTAATAAACATAAAACTGTTAAAAAAAACTATCCATTGTATTTTATGTTGTTGGGTATCACAAAACGGAATATAATACGAAAAAGTAGGTACTATCTTACAGCGGTTTGCAACGATTCTCCTTTCCCCCACAATGCATTGCATTACGTCACCTTGGGGAGAGAATTTACCAAAGGCCGCTTTGAGAGCATTGCGAGTGACTAGAGAGACGAGTAGTAGACGAGAGTATTCAGATAGCACAGATTATAGATAAATACAAAGATATAGATAGACTACATAGGCCTATATAGATAGACAGACAGATAGATATAGATAGATAGGCTAGTATAGAGAGAGATAGGCAGACAGCCAGATAGCATAACGTTAGTAAAGATAGCTAGCAGCTAGATAGATAGAAATATATAGTAGGTAGATTGACAATGGTGAGGCACGTCACATCTGGTCGCGGGGTGAGCTCCTCGACCAGCGACCAAAACACACTCGCTTCCCTACAGCACAAGCTTTCCAACGCAGTTTCCATGGGACGGCACCGCCCACACAAGCACTTGCCAAACACAGCGACAGACATGCGTCGGCTACGTTTGCAACAACATTTTCACCGAAGGAAGAGATAAATGCTTAGAAACGCCCATATAGCTAGCATGATGCCTTCTATTTCTAGATGACAAAGACAAAGTTTACGACACTATGACAAAGGTTACCGGTACTTATCTGAATTAACGTCGTGATCACTGCCAGTAGATATAAAGAAAATGTTGATTTTTCACTCGGTACTATAATGCTATTCAATGACAGTAAAAGAAATAAAAAAATGTGTCGTTATTGTGCACTACTGCTCGTAGACTAGCTCCAGTGCTCATTGCTGTGTTGCTAAATGATAGCAAATCACCAGGACACTTCCAACTCTCCACTCATTCTCCTCGGACCATGCATTTAATTGGCTATGACGGCCATCAGTTCTTGGCAATTCCTCATTTGCCCTCTCACGTCTGGCAGGTTCGAAATTATACGGCTGCGGGCCATCATACATGTTGGTTCTTGCCACCCCTTCCTCATCCCAGTCAGTCGCCATAGTTCTAATACTAGGCTGAGGCTACCTTTCCTCCACTTCTCCCCAACGTGACGTCATCACCGAATTGCGTAAAAAAACCTGTTAATACCAATAACGTAAAAAACTGGTCTTTAAGGCCATTTAAAACATTTTAAAAATGATATACATATCTTGAGTGATTTATGTACCAATTAATCGACAGTGGTGGTTAACCTGCAACACGGCCTTTAAGTCGGGGGCAGCCCTAGACAATAGACGACGAATCTTTTTGCCTTAAATTTCATAGAAATTTCATTAATGTGACTAATGTAATTTTAAATTTGTAAGTGTTAATTTAGCCAACTTTTAGTTGTACACTTGCATATATATATATATATATATAATGGCTGCTAAGCTAACAGACATTTTGAACTCATCTCTGTTTTAGGATGTAAGTTGCCCAGTGAAGCAAGTGCCTACAGGTAAAAAGCAGGTGCCTCTGAACCCCGACATCAGTCAGACCAAGATGGGAGCTTTTCCCACACTGGTAGTGCCCAGCCATGAGTTCGAACCCAGTAACAGCCACATGGTGAAGTCCTACTCCCTTCTGTTCAGAGTGTCACGTCCAGGTGGGAGAGAGCTCAACGGCATGACCACCAGAGACTCCAGTATGAGCTTCAGCTTTTGAGACTTAATAATATTACACCTCAAAATACATTTTGATGAGGCCTGTTTACAAAAAAGTTGTTATCTTCTCAGATGTTATTGAAGAGATGTCTAACAGGAAGAAGAGATACTGCTCTCATCAGGATGATGGAGAAACTACCTTTGTGGCACAAATGACAGTTTTTGATAAAAATAGGTAAACGTTCTTTATTTAACACTGCTTTAAATTGCTTATTCTTTTTCGGATTTAGTTGTGTTTGCGTGTCTGGTTTAAGACTTTATTTTTGCGTTCCTTCAAAAGACGCCTCCAGCTTTTGGATGGCGAGTATGAAGTCTCCATGCAGGAGATGGAGGAGAGTCCTGTAGGCAAGAAAAGGGCAACGTGGGAAACCATACGAGATGGGAAGGTCAGTTTCAGGCGGTGTGTTTTATTAGTCTGCATGTTGGCTAATTTGTACATCATTAAGTAGTTTTTGGTCATTCATTTGGGATCTTTACCCCGTGTTTCAGTGGCTTCCACCCTTCGAGACCTTTTCTCAGGGACCCACACTGCAGTTCACTTTGCGATGGACCAATGACACTGCTGACAGAGGAACGGCACCAGTGGCCAAACCACTTGCCACACGCAATTCTGAATCCAGCACAGTAGACAGCAGCAAGCCTAGTAATGTAAAGCCGCCACAAGCAGTAGGTAAGATCACAAGCACTGCTTAGTGTTTACAAGTAAAGTTCAAAAACATTTGGGCCTTTAAAGCATATTGATTTGTGTGCAATACTTAAGAAGATTCTAGTCATAACAATGGCTTTTGACTGGTTGCAGCTGTGAATGATTCAGTTGGCACTGATCTACCTGTAAGAAGAGAACAAACTCATGTTGAACCTCGTCAGAAACTACGTGTTTATTATCAGGTGAGTAACATGCATCTGTAAATTTACCTGACGACACCAACAAAACTTTCAAAGCAGACGGTACACACAATACAGCACACTTATCTGTGATCCCAGGCCTTTATATTGACTATCAAAGTGCAGGGTGTTTCCTTGATTCTCTGTCTTTCCACTGTAGATTTCTGTGCTGTATGATATCAGCATGAGAGCGCTGGAGTTCATAAGTCCTGCTGTGACATTTCGCTCTGTCCATGTGCCACTGTGTTGTATCCATCCTCTTGTTTTCTAGTTCCTCTACAACAATAACACACGGCAGCAGACGGAGGCCAGAGATGACCTGCACTGTCCGTGGTGCACGTTGAACTGCCGTAAACTCTACAGCCTCCTCAAGCACCTCAAGCTCTCGCACAGCCGCTTCATCTTCAACTATGTGGTGAGAGACATCACCAGAAAACGCCTCAGTGTTTTTTATATTTATAAATGCACTATTTGTAGTTGGACTAGGTTAAATCGCCTTTGCATATAGTCCATATTTGGTAGAAATGTTTATACTGATGTAAAGGTGTTTCTCACCCAGCCTCATCCTAAAGGAGCCAGGATAGATGTGTCAATAAATGAATGCTATGACGGCTCTTACGTGGGCAACCCTCAGGACATCCACTGCCAGCCTGGCTTTGCCTTCAGCCGTAACGGCCCAGTGAAGAGGACTCCGGTTACACACTTCCTCGTCTGCAGGTCTGTGTGGTTTCAAAATGAGACTGAAAGTATGTGTATCCAAATTCAAAAATCCTTTAGCTGCTGCGTGGCCTTAGCGAAAGGTTCATCATTAATTTCTATTGTGGTTGCGGTATATATATCACAATATAGTAAAAATCTAAGCAAAAATGCGTTGGATATTACTTGGTCATTAATTTCCCCATTAACCAGTCAGTTAAATAATTTGGAAGCAAAACGGATTGTTCATAAGAAATTAATGATGTGTCTGGCATCAGTGCTGAAACAGCTGCTTTGTTCTATAATGCTCGAGTTAAAAGACTCAAAACAGTAATGCGTTATGAATTTGACTGGTTGATCCGTGTTCTACTCCGTTGTAAATTGGTGAATATATGCACACTTTTTACGGCGCGTAATTTGAACTCTACACAGACTACCGTTCAACTGGTTGGTGTCTGAAAGAATTTTTCATATACAAAAAAGTATCTTATGTTAACCAGGGCTGCGTTTATTTGATCCAAAAACAGTAATATTGTGAAATATTACAATTTAAAATACTTTTCTATTTTAATCTCTGGAGTCATTACTCCAGTCTTTAGTGTCACATGATCTTTCAGAAATCATTCTAATATGATTATTTGCTGCTCATGGAACACTTCTTATCAATGTTGAAACGGTGTTGCTTATTATTTGCCCAGGCCTTTTACACTGCATTCACACAACAGCCAATCACTTTTACTTTTCCGGTGTTGCATGAACGCAATTGCATAGGCGATCTGATTGGCGAACTCCTGCGTTGGTGCTTGAAAAGTTGAAAATGTTTCAACTTCTGCCACGAGCAATGCCCGCGACGCAACGGAACCCACAATTCAGTTCGGCAAAGCATTATGTCACCCATTCAAAGTAAATGAGAAGCGTTAACTCTGAGGCCTGTGTGAATGCACCGTTACCGACCTTGTATTCATTTCTTTGAATCTGATGTTAAACACAGTGTTGCGGTCTCCACAGGCCCAAGCGCTCAAAGCCCAGCCTCTCTGAGTTCCTGGAGCCCGAGGATGGAGAACAGGAGCAGCCGCGGACCTGCATCAGCGGCCACAACCGCCTGTACTTCCACAGCGACAGCTGTGTGCCACTTAGACCACAGGAAATGGAAGTGGACAGTGAGGACGAGAGGGACCCGGAGTGGCTCCGGGAGAAGACTGCTATGGTGAGGAAGCAGTCATAATATCATTAAGACCCTTTGGTTCTGTTACCATTGAAGATGCAGCGTAGAGGACAGATGGCGTGCTGTTTGTGACTCATTGTGTGTGTGTGAGACGTCGTGTCAGAGGAATTGTATTACATTCACATATTTAAATCGCATCTAAGAAGGATGTTACACAGGATCTGATGTAAATTTGCACTAAATCAGTGTTAGTCTGAAAAGGGTCAAATTGAGCCACAATGTTGCGTTGTTGAGTGACTATGGATTTCACGCACCTATGAAATTGCAAAGAAGTTTGATTTTATTTGTCATTTTCTTTTTAAATGACTTTGTTCATCTTCATCACCCCTCAGCAAATCGAGGAGTTCACAGATGTCAATGAGGGAGAGAAAGAGGTCATGAAACTCTGGAACCTGCATGTAATGAAACATGGGTACGTAAATTTCACTTCTTTCACACTGTCCTTTTTTTATTTTTATTTTTTATTTAAACACAATCCATGTTCCGTATATCACTGTGGCCTGGATACATTCCCTGTATCACCTTGCACATATGGTGAGCTTATCTCTCAGATCACATTTCTGCCAGTAATTTGCTTCTTATTTCCTTCCGTGCAGATTCATAGCTGACAACCAAATGAATCATGCCTGCGTGTTATTTGTGGAGGAGCACGCCACCACCATCGTCGAGAAGAATCTGTGCCAGAACACTCTGCTCCATCTGGTCAGCATGCACGACTTTGGCTTAGTGAATACAGTGACTATAGACAAGGCCATGGCTCACCTGAGAGATCTGAAACCGCACAAAGATAGCCAGGAGCAATCCAAAACGCAAGACAATGCTGATGGCGAAGTCAGTGTATCAAATTTAGTCGAGACCCAGAATCCCTGAAACCACCTCCTCCTCACTCTGGATTGAATTAAGTGTCAGTGGGTGTCAAACGCCCCCCTGGATGTGAGAACCACCACTTTCTGCACTCGCAGGGTTAAAGATGATGTCTAGTTAGGAACAGGTTGTGTGGGGATTTGACCTGATGTCATCAGAGTTCAAAGCAACTCTAGATTCAAATTACTTGAAGATGCTATTAGAACTATAAGTCATTTCCGATTTTTTTCTCTACTCACACAACCCCGTAGCTCTAGCAAGTTTTTAGCACTTGTTTTAGGTGCCTGTTTTTAAAAGGACTATGAAAATAATTTTTTAATATATTTTGAATATTGATGAATGGAAATGGCTCCTACAAACTCGCTTTTATTGCATATTTTTCACAGGGGTTGAGAAACTCCTTCTGAAAACTTGAACATATTAGTTTTGCTGGTGTATAGTGTTGTTGTTAGTTTTTCAACATTTCTGTTTGTGCCACCTCTAACATTTTTTTTTCATGAGAATGTTTCTGGACCAAAGTTTTGTTGAGCTCTTTGTGGTGGCTAAAGTGAAAGTATCCACAATCATTTTTCACCACACTTGAAGACTTCAAATGACTTTTCTTTGGAATCTCGGCCTGAAGAATAACCATCAGTGATACACTGCTATTTGTTTTATTTTATTTTAAGTTTGTCAAGTTTTTCAGAGCCTTTATTCCACTGACCTTGCAACACAGATATATACAGGTACAGGGTACTAAAAACAGTGGGATGGGATGCCTTGCAGAAATGTTTACACTTGCCTTATCCATGGAAACATGTACTCTAAGCAGGGTTTGAATTTTTGGTGTAAATTGTGGTGTGAACAGGTTTCTTTGAATTTTCTTTGAATTTCAGTGACAGTTTACTGCACACAATACTGTGTCCAGTTCCACCTATTAATATATGTTAGTTTTCTCACAATGCGTCTGCTCTGCTGTATCTATCAGTTTACTTTGGTTCCATTTGTTCTTCATGGTGCCCATTTGTTTTAATTCAGGTGTTTCTGTTGAAACCTGTTGTAATATGTACATACATTTAGTGGCATGGCTTTGCTGAAGATGATTGCATTCAAGAAAGATTATTTTAGACCAAAGTGAAATGGCTACAATGTTCGACTAGTTTTTTTCAACTCAGAAATGCAAGTCTTCATAGTTGTTTATTTGTTGTATGCATCTGGTTTAAAGGAAAGGGATCTGTTTGTAAAACACTGTTTCATTTTGCTTAAACTGTGCACTGGTTTAAAAAAATGTTTTTGGTCAATATTTGAGATCAATTACTTAACTGGCAGAAGCAGTTACGTAACTGAGTGCGTAACAGTCAATACAGCATCAATTACACAAGATGTGGAATACTGATATGAATTAATGTCAAAAAAGATATTTATATCAAGAATATGATAGGAACAATTATGAAACCTGTTTGAGTTTCTGAATTATGCTGAAACAAGTGCTTCAGGTTCTTTATTTAAAATAAAGATTTTTTTGTTTTACAATCGATACCTCACAAGTCACTTTCACACATTCTTTCATTTGTTGGTTTTATTTTAGTAAACATTTGCAAAAAAAAACTAACAAAAAAATGGAATTTGTCTAAATGTTCCAAACTGTTCATTGCAAATGTTACATCTGTACTGAGAAGGCACAGACAAAATGAGGTAAATATACATGAAATAGTCACAGTTTTATAAATATAGTATCAGATATTTCATGGGTGTATCCTCATTGGGTTACAAATGTTCCCTTCTGCAGTGAGCAATTACATAGTACCTTGTAAAAGATGTTCTTCTACCTCAGGAGCAAGTGAACTGGGTGCTTGGCCCCTCATTTTGTTGTGTGAAATACGCTTTTTTTATTCTAAAATCTCCAACAAATGCATTATAACAGTTAACGTAAGGTAAGCCAGCTAATGAAAACACGAAATGGTACAGCAAGACGTATGTATTAAAAATGAGAACATAAAAAAACAGTTCATCGTAAAATGGCACAACACTTAAGCTTAGTGCGAACGATCACATTTCTGTGGAAACATTGTATTGGTATCTACTGATCAGTATTGTCGATGAAGCAGTCTACCCTGTGATTTTAAAAACAGTACTTTCTAAATGTGAATACTGAGTACCAGGCAAACAAGAATAAAATACTAGTTGTTAGGTACGCCATCTCTAAATGTTACTATGTCCTACATAAACCAACATCCAGCTGTTTAAACAGGCAACAGTTTCTTCCACAGATACATTCTCCACTTCTGACTTGAGAAAACTCATGCAGAAAGATTGTCAGAGCATTAAAGATTTAACTTTGTTGGTCGTTGTGAAGAACTTTTATTTTGCACATTTTCTGAGCAGTTTTGAGTGCCTTTGATCTCTGAAAGCTTCACTTTTTTTCTGTGGTAAACCAGACCAACATGCTTTGCAACTTAACACCTGCAGGCAAAAACTTTTAGACTCTTTTGCAAACATGTACTGTTATGCAAATAACTCAACACCTGTCCACCTGTAATGAGGTCAAAGAGAAGTGGTTGGCGTCGTCATACCTCAAAACAAAAAGTTTAATGTTATTCTGCAGTGATATCTGTTACTGATAATAATAAGAAAAAAGGGCAAAATGTGACACTTTAAGCACTTGGAAAGGTTGATTAAATTAAAGGAACTTGAGGTCTTGAATTCCAGCAGACTGGATATTTCATCATGCAACAATCAAAACACCAGCACTTTCCATCCAGGGTGTGTGAAGGAGCAGCCAAAGAAAAGGCTGTCCACCACCTGATCCAGCAGCCAATCAAACACCACTTCTCTGTTCCCTGAGCCAATCGTCACCCTCAGCTTGAAGTTTCCCCCGTCGCTAGGGTTGTTGTTGTTGCTCACAGGAAAGAGGTTGACCATTTCCATGTCAAAGGTCACAGATGAGCCAACAGTGATGGCTGGCAGCTGGTTGGTCATCTCCTTTCCGTTCACAAACACAGCACCTGGAAACGGGAAAGCACATGGTGACTTAAAGGAGTAGTTCACTTTAAAAAAAAACTTTTGCTGATAATTTACTCACCCCCATGTCATCCAAGATGTCCATGTCTTTCTTTCTTCAGTCGAAAAGAAATTAAGGTTTTTGATGAAAACATTCCAGGATTTTTCTCCATATAATGCACTTTACTGGGCACCAAACTGTCCAAGGTCCAAAAGACAGTTTCAGTGCAAACTGCAAACTGTTCAAAGGGCTTTAAACGATTCCAGACGATGAATAAGGGTCTTATCAAGTGAAACGATCGCTCATTTAAAAAATAAATAGCAAAGTTTAAGTTTTATAAGCTCAAATGCCCGCCTTGCTCTGTTCTGTGTGACTCTCCTGTTCGAACTCGTTCATCAAAATGAACGAATCTTTTTCGGAGTCAATTCGTTCATTTCGTTCGTTAAATGAATCAAATGACTCGAAAACTGATTCGTTCATTTTGATGAACGAGTTCGAACAGGAGAGTCACACAGAACAGAGCAAGGCGGGCATTTGAGCTTATAAAACTTAAACTTTGTTATTTATTTTTTAAATGAGCGATCGTTTCGCTTGATAAGACCATTATTCATCGTCTGGAATCGTTTAAAGCCCTTTGAACAGTTTGCAGTTTGCACTGAAACTGTCTTTTGGACCTTGGACCGTTTGGTGCCCAGTAAAGTGCATTATATGGAGAAAAATCCTGGAATGTTTTCATCAAAAACCTTAATTTCTTTTCGACTGAAGAAAGAAAGACATGGACATCTTGGATGACATGGGGGTGAGTAAATTATCAGCAAAAGTTTTTTTAAAAGTGAACTAATCCTTTAACAATAATGTTTGCATCCCCTCAAGAAGCCTGCATTCGGTGAGTGGGCGGTGCAGCAGGGAACAATCACAAAAAAAATATTAAAGTCACTTTTTCAGATTTAACCTTCAACTGCAAAAATTGCGTTATTTTGAGCTGATTTAAAGAAACTTAAATGACTATCATTTTCAATGCATCAGTTCAAAACTGACTTGGACAAAACATTTGAGTCCCAGAAGTCATCGGTTTTTGTTTATTTAATTGTTTTAATATTAATACTTACCTGTTCAGTTTAGTTAAAACAGTGTGATAAACAAGCCTTGATTATTGCTAGATTTAAAGCGCCTACCAAATGTTACTATACATTGTTACTATTTACATTGGATTTAAGATCCTGAGAAAATGTATCACCATTTCCACAAAAATATTAAGCAGCACAACTGTTTTCAACATTGATAATAAGAATAAATGTTTCTTGAGCAGCAAATCATCATATTAGAATGATTTCTGAAGGATCATGTGACACTGAAGACTGGAGTAATGATGCTGAAAATTCAGCTTTGACATCACAGGAATAAATTACATTTTAAAATATATTCAAATAATACAACAGTTGTTTTAAATTGCAGTAATATTTCATAATATTACAGTTTTTACTGTTTTTGATCAAATAAATGCAGCTGTGGTGAGCAGAAGAGACTTCTTCCAGCCCCAAACTTTCGAACAGTAGTGTATATACTGCATATCTTCAAAAGGTATTTAACTATATTTTCCTGCTCGTACCATTAGTGGAGATGCAGACAGCCTGATCCCTCTGCAGTGAGTCTGTGTCAGTTCTGCTGTCCGCACACACACCCAAACTGTCACGCTTATCTGTCTGTCCAGCAGCTGTGATCCTGCAAACAAACAAAGAGCAAAGACAGAAATCAGGCGCACAGTGAGTGAGACATTTGATAGGCCTGCTGATACTTGTTCCTGTAAAAATGTCCTTTACGATGATTCTGCATCTTTTCGTCGGTTTGAATAATGAATTGGTATACGAGTAATATAATCTTAACCTATTTATAGTGTCCCACTTTCAAATGTCCCACAGTTTATCTGCTATGAGAGTGTGAAGAAGAATGAAATGCTGATGTACTTGAAGGTGAGGGTCTGGCCACAGAAGTATGTGGAGGAGTTGGAGTACAGCACGCCTCCATGACCAGCTGATGAGTCACTGCGCATGGCGATGTTCTTCCTACTGCTTAAAATGTAACCATCCACGCCAGGAAGCCATTCTGGAAACACACAATGAAACACGTTCGTTTGGAGGTGTTTTATGAACAATTTACACAGAAATATGTGTTATGAAAAAAGCCTGGTGAGATGTTCCTCTGAAGAGTACTCTGAATATACATAAAGGTATAGTTTATCCAAAAATCTTTATTCTCGAATCATTTATCATCCTCATGCCATCCCCGATGTATATGACTTTGTTTAACTATAAGCCGCATTGCTTTCGGCCAACTATCCTAAGCACATTTACAAGTTCAGCTTGACATAAACGTAATTGCGAGAAGCAAAGCGGAAGCACAGAGGACCGCCACGTCACAACGTCCCATAGTCATGAACACTTGTATGACAGTAGACCGGAAGCAATGATTTACAGTTAAAAAAAGTTACAAATGTTAGTATTTTTCTCACCTACTGTTTCACTTCAGAAAACAGAATGATTCATCCACTTGGTCGAATGGAATACATTCAATGGCATTATATGGATTAAAATTTTTTATTTGTGTTTATCTGAAGACAAAAAGCTGTACATCGAGATGGCAAATGATGAGAGAATTTTCATTTTAGGATAAACTATAGCTAATGTTAGAGAGTGTTTGCATTGCTAGGTTTCCTAGTCTGTACCGTGGGGTGCGAGTGTGGTGTAGCCGGTCTGCGGGATGCTCCACGGGCTCCATTCGGTTCGGCCCTCTCCTCTGGCGCACACGCGGAACAGGTGGTCGATGTGTGGGTCAAGGTGGAGCACCAGGAACTCATTGTCTTTCCCGATGTACGCGTCCTCATACTGAGAAGAGTTCCCGCGACGGTACTGCAACCGGTAGTCCTGAGGGGTAAAGTCATCGTCCACCTACATGCAAAAAGAACAGGCTTTACCAAGAGGCTCACATGGGGTTAAAATGTCTGATGGGCATGAACGTGGGAGGCCGGACCCACCTTACACCAGCGCACCAGCACACCGCCTGGTCTCTCCACCAGCTCCTCAATCTGGACGGGCGGATGAGACGCCACGTTGCCGTGCCGAGCCACGTGCGAACGGAACATATGCAGCAGAGAGTCGTCCAGCTGCGCAGACAGACACGGCACGTCCACCAGCACAGGTACCTCGGGCAGACTGAGGACACATGTATTTACATATACTGTCCTTACGCAGACTCTTATTGATGTGTAGAGAACAGATACTTTATATGATTCAATATAAATCTTTGGCAAATAATCCTAAAGGGTTAAATAAATATCCTGTGTTGAAAACATGGCTTGCTGTCGATCGGCACATCAAGCAGCTATATTGTGCCTCAGTTAGTATAAAGTAGCACAAAACAACGTGACGATTGTATATTTTTAATAGAGCTGCATAGTTATCCAGCAACATTGTCTTATCACATTTTTTTTTAGATAATTTCATTAAAACTAAACCTATCCAAAAACACAGACCCTCCTTAGACTTACAAGACCCTAGCCAACAAAAAGGTGGAGAGCAACGGTTATTCATGTAGGATTGGTGAGTAATGTTTTTAAGGCGGGAATTAAGTCCCGTTCACATGGGAAGGGTAACTATATATATAAATTATTCAAAAGCGTTTATTCTAAAACACAAAAGTTAGGATTTTAGATTCTTGAGTGATTCAGCGCATCACTGTTAGCACGGCTGCCACCTCTCCATTAAACTTTGAGAAGATGCGTCACAAAACAGATGAGTCATGAAACCAGGCATTAGTAAAGGTTAGCTAATGCGCTTTTCAATGAGTGCTGCAGTAATGGAATTACGGGAATATTGTCTACTGAACTTCAGAAATAGGTGGCTTTGTTTTGTGTTCTCAAGAGCTGAAGATCTGAGTCTCCATTATATTCATTGTTCCTAGACATGAACTGAGTGTGACAGTGATATATCAAAGCTCTTCTTCTTTCACTGGGCCAGTTGAGGTTTGTTAAGAGAATGAGTCTGTGTGCTCCTCACCTGTCTAACTGGATCTGCAGGGCTTTCTTAGTGAAGCTGCCCAGCTTGTCCTCCTTCTCATTTATACCACAGCGGATGGCAGCCTCCCCTGAAAGGACAGCTGTATTATTACACTCATAACAGAACGTCAGGGCAACTCTAGCAAGTATAATCAAATGAGCTCTAGAGGACATTATAGCAATTGCAAAATCAAAATTAATTGCAAAATAAACTCTTAAATAAGCTAACAATTTGATAGCTAGCAATTATCCAAATGGCAGGGCTCAACAATAAGAATTCTTTTTCTGCAGGTCCATATGAGCCAGTAGGTTCAAATTTGTACTTTATCTGCTTATACTTTCAATGACCCTACAACAAAAATGTATATATTTTAAAGACAATTTATTTGAATAAAATTAATTTCC